GTCAATTATTTTCTTCTCGTCACGTTTAGAATTAATTAAATTCCAGTCGTTAAATTTTTCAACTCGATTTTCTTGAAAACGAAGTATCTTACAAAAAAATTTTATTCTTTATTTTCGACTAATTTTTCATGTAGAATCACCCTTGTACTATCGAATACGCAGACATATAGCGACTAGTATGACCAAAAGAGTCTGAACAAAATCGGTTTCCACTGTTTCGTACTTTTCGATCAAGTTCACGACTGTTTTGTAACGATTTTTGAGTACGGTATCGCGACCACGAATTGGAAATCCAGTTGATAAGCCTAACACCTTCAAAACCACCGTCTATCGATCTCCAATCTCAGCGAGGTTACGCAACATGACGCAGCTGAGGTTCGCATACGTGAGTAAGCTCTTGCTTATGCGGCTGATTTACCGATCCCTTCCACTCGATTTTATTTTTACACCGGCATTTTTTACGTCGTGAGATCAGCGATTTTCGAGGCTTTCTCTTAGCGTTTAACTCATCGAGAACGTTGAGAACGATCTCGATTGTTTCGCGATCCGAATCGAAAAGGAAATTAGGAATTGGCAGGTCCTCGAGCGAGGATTCGATGCGTTCTCGACAACGGCGCGACAATAATCAAGTCAAGTTGCTGTAAACCGTTGCGTCAAATATGACTTCGAAACTATTTCGATCTATCGGTACTTCGTTTGCCAGGATTAACATCCGCGCGAACACGCAAAGCGAATGAAATCGAACAATCGAGTTCAAGATTTTCAACAATTTCAGTGCGATCTCGCGATCACGTTCGAGAGTTGAATTTCGATGCAATCATCCTGTTTGCAGATTGTCGCTAACTTCCACGGTGAAGGAAAGTTGAATTAACGTCTCGCGTTTCTCAGTACGTTTTGAGTCGTAGCAAACCCCTTTTAACCTTCTCGATATGGCTTCATCTTCCGTCTAATGCGCTATGCCTCCGTTGAACGCTGCTATCACAGATCATAATTATCTGTCTTTTCTGGGAAAGCCGAGATAACACTCTGTACAAGAAGTTTAAGAAGTTTAAGAATAAGTAAAGTCAGTATTACACTTGAATTATGAAAAGATACTCTTGTAGAGGAGTCCTTTTTCTACCTTGTCGAATTTCTCAGTATTTTAATATTCAATATTACGCGTCCAATACTTTAATTTTTGTAACGAATCGCGGACAAGCTTCGATTGAAACAATCGCAATTGTTTACAATGAAACAATTGCGTTTTCCTTCATTACAATGTCAGGAACACGTTTTAGTGCTAGTGTCCTGATCGATATTTTCTTTTGAGTAATCTTCTATCACCGTGACACCGTCAATGAATGGGACAACGCGGATAAAGAGCATAATAGTTAAATTTTGTTGTGCAAACGTAATGAGATTCGTGGGAAGAAATCATACTTCAACTGGCTAACTGGCGTGGATCCTTGCCCCCACTCTCCTGATTGCTAGCGCTACCCCCTCCACTTGCTTGGTAGCTTAGGTTAGGTTTAGGTTAAGTAGGGAAATCAACAGAGTGGGACTCACGCATGGTGAGGGAAATTGAATGTAGTGGGGAGATCGCTGCAGTGGAAGGGGTAGCCATTAAGAAAGTAGGGGCAGCCAGTTAGCCACTTCTGAGTTATACCATCTGATTTCACAGTACGTCAATTTTCAATTTCAAACTGAGTCATTGTGAATTGATTTGACACATTTATACGCGTAGACATTTTCATTACAATATGTATTGCAATGGAGAATACATATATTTCCTTTCTAATAATAACGTTTTATAAAATTGTTTAATAATACAATATTTTATGAAATACTTCAAAGCAGAGGAGTAGACATATCAACTCACGTCGCAAGTTTGTAAATTAGAAATCTTTACGGACGACTACAGTCGCCACGAGGCAATGCATAGCAAGCGTTCAACGATGTACTATAGTCGTCGTGAGTGTCGAAAAGATGATTCGCATACTATTTGGCGTTTTTAAAACAAACTCGAATCTTCTCAATCGCGAAAAATTGCCCCATCGAAAAACCAATTCTCGCGGGATTAATTTACCGTGCAACGAGCAGTCGATTGCGATCGTCTTTTAATAAGAAGGCGAACAGCGGCGAGCGAGCGAGAGAGAGAGAGAGAGAGAGAGAGAGAGAGAGCGAAATATTCCGAAAACTTTCCGCCGCGATGGAACCAGGTGGAATTGGCTCGATCAGAATGCAATGGAGCGAAAGGCTATCACACGCAGCGCCGGCCAGCTTCCGACTTCATCGTCTCGTCATGGGGGGCTTATCGACTCCGCGTATCATGGGGGGGATTTATTTCTACGTATCTTGACCTTCGTTCGTGGCTATCTCGTCGAAAGTATCACCACCGCGTGATTCGCATTTAGATGCATGGAATCGCGGCCGATCCCTCTTTATTTTTCCAATCCCGACCGGAAGAAGGAAACGAACTCCCCTTCTCCCCCCC